TAGACCAAGTGTTTTGTTTCTCGCGGTTATCCGCGAGAAAGGCAGGCAAAAGCGATACGTCTCAAGTATAATAAAAGCTTCTCCCGAGAGAACCTCCCTATTGCCGTGACGAAAATAATAATCCGCGGACAAATGTCAGGGGAGCAACTTAGGAATCGTCGTGGAACTGTCCCTGTAGTTGCCATCGAAAACAGTTGCCTTTAAAAGCTTTCGCCGTTGTAATGGATGCAGACGTTGCGCCGTGGAACACGCGCATAGATCCTTCGTCTGTTTACTTTAGAGATGCTATCGTCCTCGTACCCTGTCAATATTTCGTATACGAGTTATAACGAATTTATAACTTGCCTCTCGTCTAGTCGTCTCTCCCACCGACTCTCGTTCGATCATCGAACTCATACCAAGTTCATAAGCCGCGATAAAGCCGCTTGCAGAGACACGATACTACGTAAACAGCTTAAAAAGTTCACGTAGAGTCCACGGCTCGTATATGGTGATGAAAGACGCAAGTAGATACGAGATAGTGGAGAACTGTGAAAAATACACGGTGCCGTCAGTGAGCAAATGCCATGAGCAGAATTTGCACTGCATGAAAACGATTGCCTTAACGAACGCGAGTAAATATTAGGCAGTTGAATAAGAATTTCCCGGTCGATTGACTCATGTAAATTTTTATCTCTCTCGTATAAGTTTAATTTTACTTTTGTAAACGATCCTTATTTGCCGAAAAAGATTGATTTAAATTACTCAACATAAGTTTAAAAATTCTGAGGAAAATGCCAAATTTTTATATAAAATTGGTTTCATCGATTCTAAATCTTCTTGCATTCGACATTGTTGATACATAGACCCAGCCTTTCTGTTCTTATTTGACAGCGCAAATTTAAGTCGGCGATTAAAGCTGTCCATTCATTTTTCTTTTTTTTTTTTATTTGAAGGGTAGTACGAGATACTCGACACGAAAGGATAGGAATTGGGGGACTTTCGTTTTTCGAGAGACGTTACGAACCAGCTAGCCTTTTTATCCACTCGAATCACTTTGCGAGTTAAGCGGCACTTTTCACGTTGTACGTGACGCGCTGTGTGAATGTACGTATTGTATACACACGTCAGTACGGAACACTAGCTATGCTCTTCCACTTTCTCGCGAACTAGGAATAAATCTTCGAATAAACGAATGTAACACTTTACGTGGGATTCAACATGTGAAAATTTAAAGGGATGTATGCATAATTCAATGGATACTGAAATATGATGAATACGTTCAATTGTCTTGAAATCTTTTACAAATAGCAACTAGTTGTTACATGACAGCTAATATGCTACACAGAAAGAATGATTTTGCTGAAGTATCTAAAAATTTCAAAATAATTTTGTTGGATCATCAATGTAGGATGCTGCAAACTGTTTGCTAGAATGTCAAAATTTGTTTGCAGCATTGTTTCAGCATGCATGAAATGAATAACTATTTTGATAGTCAAACAATTATTTTCATATATATAGTTTCTATATTCATTTATATAGTTTCTATATCTAGTTAAACTTCACTAAAATCGTTCTTTCCTCGTATAAGATAAAGATCGTGCTTTTGTATAGCAAAATCATATTAAACTGTTTAAATGAAACGAAATCTACTTAATTTTAAACATCTTACATTGATTGATAAGCTTTTCCATTTGTGAGATATAAAGATTATGAATTCAGATGTATTCTAGAAAATAAACGATATTTTGCTTGAGAAACTGCAATTATAGCATACGTATTTTGCATATCGGATTAGTGAAGGAATTCATAACTTACAAACTAGAAGCCACGTCGTTACATTAAGCCGTTTCGGGCAAGTTGACAGGGGCAAGATAACATGGTAGCTTCATAACTGCAACATATATAGTCCTTTACGCATATAGGATATGTTCTAACATGAAGGTTGCACAAAGAACAAAGGATATGTAATGATTCATTTTAAATAGGTAATTAAATAGGATAATAAATAGCAGCATACTTTTTAAAATTATTTTTATAGTTTTATTTCTCCATTTTTATATGAATATTAAGGAATTATATTCATAAATTATCTATAATATTACTTAACTGTTATCTATAATATTACTTAACTTTTGAATAGGTAGATAATTTAAAGATATACAAGTGTGTTGGTAGGTGAAATGCTTATAACATCTCAAAATATTGTAATTTTATAGTGATATTTTTTAACTTTAATATATTAGATTATAGTTAAATTGACATTAATTAATTATACCCTTATAAAATAAAAAAATGTAAAAATATTGTAATGAACTTTAAAATTTCTGAATGTCTGAGCATGTTTCTTTGTATTTTTCTTTTTTTTTTACAGAATAAAGAAAAAGATTTTAAAGAAAACTATATCTACCGGGAATACTATGACTACTTTATCGACCCATTAAAAATTAAATATTTAGTATAATATTTCATACATATAATATTTCTTTATCATGCGAGAAGCAAAATGTGTGAAACTTTTTTTCGCGAATATATATCAAAATTAATTTTTTTATATTTCGTAACACGCTATATATATAGTATTGATTATTAAAATATATCTAGTAAATCTCTTTTGATTCAAAGATTAATAAATAACTGTACATGCAAACTGAATTATGTGTATTCAATATAGTGAATAATAAAAAAGAATTTTCAGAATATTTTTTAATCTAGATTACAGAATATGAGTATATGAGTACTGACGTACAAAAAAAAATTAATTTCGACGTGTAGCGCAAGAAAAAGATTCACATAATAATTCTTCTGACATTATAATTCAATATAGCTGTAGCGAGGAAACGGGAGCTTTAAGTGATTACAATATCTCTTATGGCTAGGAGAGTACGAGTAAGAAAGCTAAGTGTGGCGAAAGCCGAGGCCATAAAATTTGAGAGAGAGCGATCTAGTTTCTCAGGTTTTACCTTCCTTAAAGTAATTCGATACGGGCTGCGATTTTTCGTGGTTTTCCGTTGCAGGCTGCGAAGATTCTGCCGCATAGGTGCGAGCAAATCTAAAAAGTCTGAAAGGAAGAGTTCTTCAATATTGTAGGGTAAAGAAACGTAGCGACAAGTGCTACTTCGCACGTAGATTCCAGTTTCCAATCCCCTTTTAGCAATGCGGTATCTCGGCTCGCGAGCACGACGGACTGCCTTATTCCGCTTTGCATTATCAGGACTTTACGTTCCAACACGGCGAGTCTGATGCTTTGCATTACTTCACGAAAGCACGTCTTTGCGCTTGCCTCCTAAATGGAGTTTATCGAGCGCTCGAGACGAATAGAAAACGCTAAAAAGGTTGACCCGCATTTAGAATGCAATCATGTTCGTAATCATGCTCTACTAAAGTGTTGAATAGTATTTCTTTTAAATTTTTTAATGCACAGCATGATATATCGATATAGAAATCTTCATTTTTTTCTGAGTGAAAGAAAAGAGTTTAATGAAAAGAAGAGGATATTGAAAGAGTATTCTTCGAAATTCGCCATTTATCAAGTCATAAATCAATATCGAAGCATTATAACGATCTAATAGCGTAGTATTCGCATGAATGACAGTTTTCCGTAGTTAATTACAATTTGCTCAAGAAGCGCGCAGCTATCACTAAATGGCATGCCGGCTAATTCTGCCGTATGCTCTCCGCGATTGTTCTAACGAGCAAACTCTAATAAGCGTTAACGTTCTTGCTGAGGAGTTCTGAACACGAACCGCCAGGATCTTGCTATAGTCACGGATTACCTTACCTCCGACTTCTAACGCCGATCTGCAGCCGTGAGTAGTCTTCTTATTACCACGCACCAACTTTCGTGAGTGGCTCGGCTTTCTTACGAATTAGGAATCAGATCGAATGTATGCTTAACTTCATGATGTTTCAACATTTACATCAACTTTGTTCTTACTTGAAGCGTATGCTGTAGATATCATATTTAAATAATACATTATGAATCTTGCTTATTCGAACATGGAAACATTTATATTATATGCTTTGTATTATTAATATCGTTTATTGAATTCAACACAATTAAATAACATAACATTATTCTTGATTCTCATAAGATAATTTTTCATTATCTAGTTAACTTGTGTCTGATTAAATTTAATTTGAAGTTTCACCTAATTGACTTGACATCATCATAGATGCAGCCCATTGAATAAAACTTCAAGTTAACCACAAGTTAATTAAAAAATGAAAAACCAGGCCATCCAACCGGATTACAGCGATTTTTGTTGTACTTATGGTCGTTCTAATTTACTTTTTATTCTAAACATTTTCATTCTACAATACAAAATGTGCATTTGCACACCAACACATATTCTTGTCATATTTTCTTTCTATTTACTTGTACACGTGGAATTTTCATTACACAATTTAATTATATAATTTTCTACATTGTTTTCTCTACATAAGTTAAAGCCGAAAATTATTTCCTGCATTCATAATCCGACGCCGAAAATGGATTCTTCGAGAATTAGGAATATAACTTGCGACACTCAGAAGCCATGGATATTGTAGCTACATATATGAAGTAAGATATTTTATCATCATATTTTATCATCGATAACCTGATATCGACATTAAGTTGCACTTCATCTGCGATGATTAAAAAAGTTGTATTTACCTCTTTATTTCTTTACAATCTGAAAAGATAATTATTTATCATGATATGGCTTTATAATTTATATAATTTGCACAATATATAAATGTAAGCATTATATTAAATTTAAATTCAGAATATTAGTTAAATATTAAATTTAATTTAAATACCGAATTATTTTTTTATTAATACACAATATTTATTGTTTATTATTCAACCTCATCAAATGATCATTGTTAATTGTAAAGCTGTAAAATTGTATGAAATATCATTTCAATATTGCTGGTTTTCTTGAATAAATATGATACATAAATTTTGTAAACATTCAATCAAAATTGATAATATCGCATTAAAGCGTTCGTAAAGATATATGTCGTATAAAAGATCAACTTTAAATGTCTTGGTTCTTTTTGAACTTGCTATTTTCTCGCAGATTAATTTTGCGTAAGTTGAGAATTTTGAGCTAAATTTGATCCTACTATCGAGAGTTTCCGAGGGGTTTTATTACATCTCTTTTCACTATAAGCGCATTCGACGTAGAAATTACTCCTCATTATCCGCATTTTTATTATCGCCGTTTTACGTCCTCGTAAAGCATCTCATTTAAACGATTAATTCGTTCCTAGTCGAGCGACGTGCACTTAGAAAATGAATGAAAGACAACGTGATTTTTTCTTGCTCATTTTATTTACATCTCTTCTCTTTACATCGCGACTCAACATCGTAAATATTTATTCTTATCGTGCGTTCCTTTGTATCAAATATTATTGAGCTAATGTAAAAGTGCACTTCTCTCTTAATGATCGGTATGATCCAATTCATTCACCGGTGCGCAACGCAACTTCTTCTGTCTTCGCTTATCTCATCATCTGTTTTTATCGCTGTGTCGCTGATTCGCCGCGTTACCGCATTCCTCTCTTCTCTCAACCTGTCTGCACCAATGTCATTATCCTCCTCCACCTCCTCTCTTCTCCTTTACACTAGTCCGCTTATAGGAAACTACTTCGTGTCACGTAAGAGCATTTGCCCTCGAAAGTGATCTTTGCCATAAATCCTCTTTCATCTTATCCATTCTCCTCGAGGGAAGATGATGCAAGCAGGACTGAATAAGCCCGTAATTAGGTCACTATGCAGACGTAATTGGACGATTGTTGATGAAAAGACATACTGCGACAGAATGGAAGATTAACTGGATGATAAACAAGAGTTAAAAATATTTGGATAATATATATTTAATTCTAAACTAAATGAAAAATTAACTTAAAATTAATCGAAGTTAAAATATAGCAAGATAAAATCGCTAGACGTGAATTAGACACTAATCCTAAATCACTTTTTATATTTAAATAATTATAGTATTTTTCATTAAATGATACATATCTTCTTTAGCATTTGTTTTATCTCTTTGAAGTGTCAATTGAATTTATTAGGAACAGTGCTACACATTTTATTAATGTCATTAATTAAATGTGCGAAGTTAATTAACGTATGTATCTTTAATGTTTCTTTCTTTCAAAATATAATATCATAAGAATTGCCTTATGGCTTTTATAATAGGTTGTAAATAGTATTCATGAAAAAATCAATTTATACTCAGTCGAGATTAAATGTGACCGCGGATATTGTTTAATCACTATGTTATAACGATAATTTTATTGCATAAATTTATTATAAAAAATGTTTAAAAACTTACAAATCTTATAAATGATCTTACTATTACTATAACTTAACTGTTTTTTATTGCTAAACGTTTAATTTTCATCATTTTTTTAAAATTATGGTTGATTTTTAATTGTCACTAATTTTAAATAAACTTGAATGTGTTAAAATTGCATCATTATCCGCAATTAGATTTTAGAACTAGATGTGAATCATTAATTATAATTTCGTTATATATATTACGATATATATGCGCAAATCATTTTTATTATCCTTGAGATGTAGTAATGTCTCCAAAAAGGATAAAATATTTAGTGAATTGATCCCCAATTAATACAGGGTCTAATTGTCGATAATTGTCATTAATTTATTTAATTCTATTTAAACTAAAACATATAAACGGTGAAATGAAATGAAATCATCCATAATCTTTATGATCAATTATGACTATTAAATATTTTATTAATTGTTTGATATTGTTCTGGATAAAAAAAAGTATGAATTTTTTTTAAAGAGTGATTCACAACTAGTGGTTTTACCTAATACGAATGTACAATTAACTTAAAGTGAAAGAATGAGCAGGAAAATCAACATACGTTTTTTCATTTCCTTTTTATTATAAAATATATTAATGTACGTAACATTTACAGCAGATGAATACATATAATGGTATGTACATAATTGTCGTTTACATAAGGAAACGGTCATGGATGACAAGTACGAGAGGAGCAGTTATGTAATAATATATTCTATATTGTAAATTACATACTGCACGAGCTTTCGCAGTTACTTACGAAAATGAAAACTTTCAGATTAATCTTTGTTAATTGTGTCGGATTGTATATCAAACACCATTTATTTATTTTTACGTTGAATGCGTATGTGCATACTTTTTTCAATTCGAGCTCTAACTAAACATACGCTCGTCACGCTTCTTTATTTTTCACGCGTATGTACACACACGGGACACACAGAACACAACGCACATACATACAAGTCACAGACCTCAAAATATTTTATTTAACACGTACATTTGGATGCGATTCAATCGATCAATTAATCAGGTTCAATTAATGATTTTTTCTAAATAAGTTTTCTAATAAGAATTTTATGCGTTATGCTACATATAAAAATCGAACGCAAACTTTATTTTATTTGTCAAAGTTAAAATTATGAAGTTTTATCAGGAATATACTGAAATTCAATAAATCTTGGAATTTTTTCATGTTCTTTCTCTCCTCCCCAGTAAAAGCATTGTGCATTCTGAAAGCTTCAACAAATATATTCCATTCTTCTTGTTCTCGGAAAAAAAAACTATAGTTAAAGGGAATAAAACGTCGTAGAATTAATATTAATGTGTGCTTAATAATTGTATCAGAAATGTATCCTTTAAATAAATGTCCTGAAGATCCTCTTTTTGGCATATCTGCTTAATATGCTGCTATCAGCAAATTATTGTTATTATATTCCAGCAGCTAGAACACGCGCATTTAATATACATTAACGATTATGTTAGCCATTGTGATGTTGGAACGTATTTGTGACGATAGGAGATCGCGATGTGAAGCACGTTACATAAAATAATGATAGGAAATGAATACGTGTTCATGGAATATTTGAACCAAGGTGTACACATTTTAATATGCCAACATTATGTATTCCATTATTACGTAATATTGAACTTAAAGTAAACATATTGTTTATTATTCTAAATGGAAAATTTATTCACCCGCATATATGCTCATTTAATCCTTTTGTTTGGCAAACTCTCGACTAATCGAATGTACACGACGATACCGATATCATGTGTTATTATTTGCAACGTGCTTCTTCGTAAATATCATAAAATGTTTTACTATGCTTGTTTATTGACAATACGTTTTTGTACAAAACGATAGATGGTAATAGCGATGGTCTCTTTGAAAATTCATATTTATATTCGTATTTTTATGATATACCGATTGGGTGGTCCTTAATTTTCGTATGAATTTGTAATAGATGATAATACGTCAATACAATTAATATTCGGTACACTGATCTTATGGTAGAAAATGAGAGCGAAGAAGGTCGAGAATGAAAAATGTATATACAACGACATTTGGGAAGCACGATAGATTACGCTGTCATAATTTGCATAACCGTCGATTTCATGTACACGTCGCTCGGATATATCGATCGTCACTCAGCAGATTTAGTAGACAGAGGAAACAGAGAAAAACGACCCTTGAGAAATCTTATCCTCATTCTCGGATATTCTCTTCTCATTCAATAGCTCTCCAACGCATCCAATATCTCATATTTTTCAGCACTTCCGAGCTGTCGAAATTATTACGACCATAATATAACACCGACCGACAATTGCCTTCCTGAACGCTGCGAGAAAATAAATAAACAATTAAGGATGCGGCAGATAAGTATCGATTGATTAATCGATGCCTCATTGGTCGACAATAATAATCGTTTTACAAAGCTTACCGGCAATTCGACAGGATTAATCACAATCTCTTCCTAATCCATTCAATGCTCGGGAAATACCGTCAAACAGTATCCCTCATTATTGGATCGTGCATTGAAAGTGTCAAATTAACGGGAAAGCTTTACGCTGTTCGATCACAAGCAGAAGCTAATCAAAGAGCTCGTTGCTCTTCACAAAGACGAATTAGCATGGCTCTTTCTATCTTGTTGCCGACAGTTGAGTTATGACTATTCTGCGGATTAGCGATGAGATAATTGAAGAATTGAAATTAGATTATATAATAATAAATAATGGAATCTTATAATTGTCAAATACTGCACGTGATATTGTAGAACAATCTGAGGTAAAAACAAAAATGTTTTATAATAAAACATTTTTATAAGTACTCAATCGTATAGGAGTTTAAATAATTCTTCAAAATCAATTCCTATATTTTTTCAAAGTAATGCATCTTAATCAGTATAATATTGCTGGATGTAATTTTTATACTTTTTTTATTTTTCTTCGAAGCGCTCAATAAGTTTTGAGAAATTTGAAATAAAACAAAATCGAATGTATTTGCAATATTTATTATTTTTTTTCTTTCAGAGAATATATGTTTTGCTATTTTGTTCTTGTTTTTAAGAATATATGTCAGTTTTCTCGTGGTTGGTTTTATTCATTCGCGTTGACATCGTATACATTTTGAAGATTTAGAAATTCTTATCCTTCCATTTTGTATAATATTTTGTCATACACATAATATGTACATTCAATGTTATATTTTATGAATATTTCATTACGTAGGAAGGAGAAAAAAAATAGATCGAATCTTCTTGATAAGATGCCAAAAAGTAATAGGATATTCCTCAGAGTAGAATCAATTAAAATAGAAATGGAAATGCAAAGTAAAATAAATATATATAAATAAATATATATAAATATATATATATAGATTTTTCTATTTTTTCGAAAGTTTACTGATTCAAACATTCTTTGGGTTTTTAATATAAGTACATTGTTTTTATTTTTTATAAACTAGCATAATGCATTATATATGAGACTGCTTTGAAAAAAATATATTTCTCTAAGTTAGCCGATATTATAACTTAAGTCTTCGAATACCTTTTCGATTCAATTTATGACGTTGAAAGGCTTTTCTAAAGAACAACTGCTCGACGAAACAAAAATCGTCGTCACCCGTAATCGTCACGATAAAGGACGTCTCAATTGCTTCGAAAAACCGTTCTAAACTGTTGTTTTGCGACCACAAGACTCATAACGGAAACTTTGGGAACAGTGGAGACATCGAAATCGTTCAAGTTGGCGAACTTTCTTTTCTACGATAGAAATTGACATTTTCCGGTATATTGTCGTGCGAACTACGTGTAATCGCATTAATCAGGTCTTAACTTTCTTTCATTTCTTCTCTTCTAATTTTCTCTCTCTCTCTCTCTCTCTCTCTCTCTCTCTCTCTCTCTCTCTCTCTCTCTCTCTCTCTCTCTGATTATATTTTATATTAAAATATAACTTTGTTATTTTACTGAAGATAAATTTTATTGGAAAATTGATACGATGGTCTCGTTACTATATGCTTATATTATATGGTGCATATATTGTTGCAAATAAAATTATGCTACTGCGTCAGTGTGCACCATTTATCTCACTACATCATTCTATAGCTTTTAATGTCTCATCAAAAAAACGTTTTCGCGTTATTATTTTAACAAACAGATTATAATTATGATTATAAAAATTATTTGCCTTAAATGTATTTTGCATTGTAATATATTACAAAATAAAAAAACTATTGCTAATTGCGAATCTAAAATACATAGATGTGACGCGCATAGCGATATTTTCAATATTTTACTGAAATATCATAAAAAATTATTTTCAAAAAATAATTATACATATGTATTTCAATTTTTTTTACTTTCGTATTTTTTGTTTTTTTATTCTCTAATTTTTGCTTTAATTTTACCTTTTCCAATTTTAGTGAGCTTTGAATTATAATAAAGTTACTCTTCAGACAAAAATAAGAGATACATATTATTTTTATTTAAAAAATTATACAATTCCTCATTTTTTGTCTAGGAAAACAATATAATTAAAGTTCATTAAAATTCGATAAAGGACACTTTCCTCGTTAGAAGTATTAGAATGTTTCCTTGTTAGAAAATTAGAGCTGAAGATATATATTAAAAATATTATCTGAGATAATTTCCGTCTCTTATTATTTCGACAGTATTCACTCGAAATAGTAATCGACATCGTTTCAAAGAAATCCTTCAATCCTTTAACGTACGATTGAGTACATTTATAAAAAAATTATCTTTTATTTTTATGCGCACTGTTAATTAGTAGTACATAAAACTCATTAAGATTATAAAAGGAAGTTAAAGGGAAAAGAATTGGATTGCCTCGGTCTGGTTATCATTTGCATTTCTACAAAAACGAATAAATGTATGTGTATATTGAGCGTAAAGTTCTTGCTAATATCTTAAGTGAAATATAGTCTATCGTTTTCACTTCTTGCCTCTTGCCCGAGAAACCGAATTATAGAGGGTGGAAACAGTCGTGGCGAAATTAAGATTAAGCAGAAGAACGAAGAGAAAATAAACTGGCGCAGGAATTTGCTCGTAATCCTTATAGACTCCTCCTCAAGGACAGCTAAGCAAGCAAGTAACTGGTTGCAGAAACGGTATGTTTATAGAGACAGCGAAATGGCTCTGGCTAGTTCTGTACGATAAGTGCTCATGGAATCGAGCGAGCGAAAACACATAAGGACTATGGTGTAAGAGGGTAACAACGGTTGCTCGGCTCGTCGAGACATTTCTCGTGCTCTTGAATCGTTCCCTTTCGCCACGATCTACCGTATCTCTCTCGCTAGCGAACCGAGCATAGCTCAATTAGTCACGAGAACGAACTCGCTTTTCCGGCTATCTCTTTTCCCCACCTTCGGCGGTTGGTGGTGTCGGCTGGTCATGAGAGAAATGGCCGGGGCGAGGTCCTTAGGTTTAGGAAGGAAGGGCGGAAGTCGATAAGAGGCAAAGTGGAATCGGGAAAGCGGCGTTGTGGAAGCGCGTAAGCGAAAGATGGAAGAGGGAAAGATCGGTGGGGAGGTAGGACGACGAGTTAGGAAAAAGAACGGAACGAATGAGGGACGGGATGTGTTGGAGAATGCGCACGCGAACGGGAGAGGTTTTACCGCGAAAGTTTCTCGAGGGAACGAACAGAACGTCCGACGTTCTACCAGCGCGAGCGAGCAAACCAACCCATCGATCGATAGATCCGGTGCGGCGCGGTGGCTCGTTTCCTTCATCTTTTTTTTTCTCTTTCTCTCTTTTTACTAAGTCCCGCTCAGGGGACTGTACTTCTCGGTGGAAGCCTAAAGTTGCAGCTTGAGAGAAGAACATGGTGTAGTAGATCTAGTAGTACTGTGAGCGAATCACGAGTTAACGAGTGAATCGAGTTAGAGGTTTGAGATGCGGAAGTTGCTGAAAGTCTTATTGGAAAATAAGAAGATACGACTACGACGCATGTTGTTAAGTATCGGAAGAAAAGTTTCAGAGGAAGCTAATTAAACCTAGCTATCTCAAATATATGTATATAATAAAAAAGATTGTAATGTGCACGAGACGTGATATTTAAATCGGAACTTTCTACTTTGTGAGCACATTCTCGATCCAGCGGAAACGATTGACGCATTCATCGCAATTCGTAGATTTCGGTAACGTTATGTGGGCGCGCGCATTGACAAGCACTAAATCCAGATTGAAGTACAGGAAGTAGATAACGCAAAAAGCTTTCAGTAGTTTTATGACACCTACAGTAGAGTGTCGCGCAATTTGCGATCGCGAAAGCCATGACGATGCGCGCGACGCGACGTCGTTTCGCGTCAATAACGGGTAACCGAGATATTTTCAGAATTCCCGACGATTTCCATAGTCAGAATATTTGAACGCATGGAAAGAAAGAAAGAGAGAGTGGTGAGAGAAAGAGAGAACGATAACCATATCACCGTTGGTTCTTTTATTCGCGATGAAACGATTTGTATCAGACGCACGACAGTGGAGGAACCACGACGAACGAGTCCGTTTATTTCATGCGTCACAATACGAGCGCACGCATATGCGTGCAGAAAAAATGCCGATTAATGCAAGAAGTAAGCGGTGCGTAGAGAACCGCGCGAACGAAACATGCTCCGGCGTGTTTGCTCAGCTCGGATTTTTATCCGGCCAATAGCGATGCCTTCACCGAATAACGCGCGGCCATCGTTTGTGCGCGCCGTTCCATCAGCACGTGAAATTCAACCGCACCCGCAATTGCGAATTTCACCGGGCTAACACATACACACCTTGCTTACATACGCGCTCTGAATATTACGTTTTTTTTTATATCGCGCATGCAGGTACAGTCACGGGCTGTTTTTTACCTGGGAGCTACGGGCTGGTAGCTCGATATTCGCGAGAATGAGCATCGCGAGACAGCGAGATTTTGCGGCAAATTGCAAGGTCGTTTTGCTTAACAAAAAGTACAAAGGCATCAATTCACTCGCGAATTTTTTTAACTGATGAGAAATAAAAATAAAGAGGACTTTTCGCGCGTCGTTCTCGCGCGTAAACGTCGCGATTTGCATTGAAAGTTTAAACGAGACTATCAAATATTCAACAAAAAAATATTTCTCTTTAGCTAACTCGACCTTCTGATTCCTCCGTTTGAAAAAAAGAGAGCGAAGTGAAAGACCGGTGCGGACAGTTTAGATAAGAGCCACGATACAAATAAACTACTACCCGCATCAACCCCAGAACTCTGATCTTCTCTCTGATCCTTTTATCTTTTAATTACGCGGATTTCGCCACCAGTTTAATTCTCAATCCGCTTTTCCGACTTGAACCCAGTTTTCTCAACGCTTCCACGATTCAATATGGATAACAATCGCCGTTTGATAAAATAGTGCCAACGAATCTTTTAAGGAATATAACAATTTTCTATTATTAAAAAAAAGTTATTCCAGGGAAAGAGATTATCTCTCGTAAAAGTTGGAAAACAAAAAATTACATAGTAACCAAGAGTAATATATCCTAGAAATAAAATCTGGAATCGTAGATCCAAATAAATTTTAAGAGAACGCTAAACCGACACTCACGGTTGAGCCAACGCATTACTTCCACGAAGGAAATAGCGTCTTGAGGGGAGAATCCGAAGAGACGAGGATAAATAAGAGGAACGTGCAAATCTCTGGAGAGTCGAAACGTTCTGCGCGCCTTTGCGATCGATATATCCGAAAGGCTTTCGGACCGTGGGAAACACAGTGATTCCCGGTCCTCGACGAGGACTGAGGAGGGTGCAGAGCGTGCAGCAGCTCTTCTGGATATCGTGATCGTTACAGCGCATCTGAATGATACGGGAGGAGAGAGGAGAAAAGAGGAGAGGAAAGGAGTGTCCGTTTTCCTTTCCCGCGTCCCACATCCGGCTCCTTTCCAGTCACCGTGTGTATTCGCCCGGCAAGCGAACGGCGAGCCCGTCTTTCCGTGCGAATTGAAAGTGCTGAAAGTCCCGTCGAGGCGAATTGCCAATTGCTTCGTCGCTCTCAGCCAGGGGCTTACTACGGCACGAAATTGGAAATACCGTGGCGCGGCTTTCTCCAACCGTCTGCCGAGATCGGCGAGACCGGCGAGACAGGAGTCAGGACTATAGGATTCACTCCGGCGTGTATATACATACGTACATATGCAGGTTGTGGGCTATATACAAAGACGCAGGATTTGTTTCGATGGAGATAGAAAGGGTGGTAGATACGCGTTAACCTGTCAAAAGTTTAATCAATCTCCCGAAATCTCCGGATCTCTTGCGGACGTGATTTCGAAATCTCGCGGATTGCTCGCAAGGAAATATCAGTTGTATTGGTCAGGGGATCATAGAGAGTGCCTCGAACTTTACGAATCTCGCTGAATCTCGTCGAAGATAGCATCTCTGGAGAAACATGATTGTTCGTCAAGTTTCGATCGCTACGTCATATATGACGTGACGAACTAAAGATTAATATCCTTTCGAGCTATCGACTCGTATCTATCCCGTTAATTTCACTTCAATTATTCATCATTTTGTCTGTCGAGATCACAATGTTCATTTATAATGTTCGTCTCGCTGATCTGTATTGTAAGTCAACGTCAATATTAACGGGGTTATTCGCGTACGCAGGAGGTGCGTTTATGTTGAACCACGTGTTAAATCATCGCAAAACATGCGGAAAAATTCGCACTCACGCCCTGCTCGAAAAATACAAACATATATATACACGCACGCGCGCGCAATGAGAACGCGATTCATGCATGCCGCGATGCGCGGAATTCGTACGCGGTATTTGTACGCACGATGACACATGTTCGTGTTCACGTACGCACGATGCGTGCACGCAACAGGCACGCGTGATCAACAGACCGTGACGATGGAGAGTGTGGTCGTCTTTGGCGAGGCGTAGGCGTGTATCGACTGAGAATACCTCGATTGTCAAATGCGCAGAGGATCCGTGTGCGGATTCGCGTCGGGCTTGTGTCGCGCCGCGCAGAAGCTCAGGCCGAAGCACAGCATCAGCAATGCCACCGAGCCGACCAGCAAATGACTCGACCAGGACACCGAGCACTTCCCTGAAACAGATGGCATCCGTCCGTCATCGACTTGTCTCGGTGATCCTTCTGACGAAACCTCGACACCGATCCGTAACTACCCACGGGAATTTCTCCGAGAATAGCTTAGTCAGCCTAATCGTCGTGCTGAGGTTGTAATGCTGGTGAATGTAATCATCGCTTGTAATACCTTAATCAACGCTCCAAGATAGACTAATAAATTGAAACAAATTTGTCTTATGACGTAGACCAGGAATTAAGGAGATAATTACAGAAAATATCTTTTAAGATATTACAATTAGAGAGATAAAAAGATTGCTTTTTAATGACGCAACAGGCAAGCTCTAAGTAAAAAACATCACTACGATATTATTATAATCAATTTTAATCCTCTGCCGGCAACATGGAGTCTTAAAGACATCATCGATATTTCTATTGTTAATTCTATATAATAGACAGATTTAAATTTGTATAAAATAAGAAAATGTCCAATTCATATGATAGTAAAAAAATGTTGTTAATCCTCCGCGAACCAGGTGAAAAATTAACATAGATTATATGTGGATATATCTCATACCCCGTGCTAGACTTCATAAATATACTATCATAAATATACTAATTTAGTACGATTGGTAATAACGCACTCTTCAATTGTATGAAACCGATGACATGCGCGCAATATTTTCTAAAAAGCTATAAAAATTCATCTCGCTGGGATATATCATATTCCATCTGGTTCTCGGAGGGTTAAAGCTTTGACAAGTATACCAGAATTTTTTCAGATTTTTATATAATCCGAACAAAAATTTTACTCGTGTTTCTCAAAGGCCCCTACATTGATGGAATTAATGGTCGGCAAAGAGTTAAATATTATATTATTAATTTTGATTTGACAATTTGAGATAAGAGCTTATCTTGATACTTTTATAAATAAATGTTTTCGATAGAAATAAATGAATGATAGAAATAAACAGAGCAATGCATTTTATTTAAACTCGATGATAATATAATGAACGTAATAAGTATAACCGGTATTGTCACTGATGTAAATAGAATACTTATAAATCTAATTTGACGCTAAAACAATAGAAATGTTATTTGCGATTGTGTTATAATTGGAAATATATCGAAGATAATAATCGGTTCGAACAATTTTAGATAATTGGAACATACTGGTGTTTCTATCAGAATTTATAAATAAGTTTAATTTTCAACCTGCAAGAGATATCGTTTAACTAACGGTATTCTATTAGAAATATATGTGATTCGGTCGTCATCGCTATGACGTTGGTTTTGACGTCGGTTTGACCTACCAATCCGAGTCTATTCCTAGCACTCACCTGGGATTACTTGTCACCTGTACACCGAATAGCACGGATTATACTGGATTTTCAATAACCTTTCAGAATTCTATCAAAAAAATATACAATCGCGCTCACATTCAAAACATACCGAAATTGATTAATTTTATCAAAAGTTTCTTTTGTCGATGCAAAATTGCTTATTTCATATATAACTCGAAAAAATGTTGAGACATCTTGATCGAATCTTCATTATACAAGAAAAAATTTAAGATTATTTTTTAATGCGACAATTTCTATTTGATGCAGTTGTATGAAATAAATAAACGAATATTTCTTTGGATTCTATCGCGCGGTTAAACCGGATGTGGATTTATCAGAGATGATCCTGCATGCATGAAATACAACGTATGCATCCGCAGTCACGGAGAATCAATAACGAATTATCTCTCGAGTATTGAAAGGGAAATCATCAGATCGCCGATGTCGAGCCGCATCGTTACGTGTCGCTTTGGGAAATTACGAGAAAATCAGAAACTACATGAGGCCAGTGAGACGTGAATTTGTACGTCTCATAAAGTTACACACAAGAGCCATAAGTCTCAATTGATTTATGTTAAGTCTCGAGAAATGACTGTAAATAGTTGAGTATTCGATAAAACGCTCCGGGAAATCGCTTGCGAAAATGCAGAAAGTTTCATTACTGATTCCAGTCCGTCGTCGCATCGTTGTCGTCACTTGGTAGTTACGTCTTAAGAGCGATTACATACAGACATATATCCGCATTTCGCCACGTCGCGTCGCATTGGAATGGCAATTTCTCGCTGAAGACGTCGTTAAACTAGGAAACAAGCAACCTCCTCTCTCGCGCGCGCGCGAATCTATCGAGCACGTTAATTAATTACCAAATTAAATCAATAATTCGCGCGCCACATTCCGCCGAAATTAAGTTCCGGCACCATTCCACGCGGTTCGCATCCCGCGATACCTGCATCGCGTTCCTGCAGATTCGAAAACGATGTTTCGAAGACGAGGATACTCACCGAGATTGTAAACGTTGGCCCCCTTCCCACAGGATTCGCGTACCTCCCGATTATCCCAGCCTATCGGATACATGACCAGGCCGCCGCATATCATCGTAGCTGTAACAAGTAAATGAAAATGATTTATCAATTTTAAATTGCCCATTGAATTTATACTGTAAGAAATTTCTGTTGTAAACTTTTAGAAGTGTTGGAAATTTTGATCCAACAAAAATGTGTAAATTTAAAAAATTATATTGTGAAATTACAATAACATTTTGTGGTAAAGTGTATTCAAATCTCTAATATCATAAATTTCTGTTGTAAATTTGCAAATATTGTAAAATCACAGTAAAATATTATATGATTTTACAAATTTACTGCACATTTTTATTGTAAAGGTATTGTAAATTTACAAACATTTCTAACAGTGTAGTTGCCGTTGAAAAGTGTCGACTAATTTCTGTTTATTCTGTTTTTCTCTTTTGTAGTACTGATAATATTGTTAAGATGTTTAATAAGTTTCTTCCCCTTGAAAATATTAACTTATAAAGAATAATTAGAGATTAGATTGCAAAATTGCTTTGCTTACAAAATATGAATACTTTAGCAAAAAAAGCTGCATTGCTCACGCGAAATTTGTAATTTTAACGTTGTAATCAAATACTTTTCTTCTAAAAAAAATAATATTATGACATTCCCGGCTTTATTCTGCATCGATCATGTCTGTGACTCAGTCATTTTTCGAAAGTAATCCTTGAACGTAGAAAAGGATCGAAAACAATGAGCTAACTTGAAGCGCATAAATGGAATATGTCAATGTTAGAAGAAGAATGACGTCGCTTGATATCTGTTTTATTTGAGGACAGTTCATTATTTCGCTGTGAAATGCGAGTCTCTCACAGCTCCATTGCTTTCGCATCAATTTGAAACGCAATAGGGATGAGTTGTCATTTTTGAAAGTGCATTATTTTTTTTCATGCTCAATGAAAGTATTCGAAGCTTATTTTATCATATATAATTTAATGGTATAGAAAAAGAAATAATAAAAAGAAAAAAAAAGGAGAAAGGAAAGAAAAGATATAAATAGAGATATATTGTAAAGATAAAGATAATGTAAAGACAAGGAATGAGTATTTTGTAAGACAACAAGGCTGAGTATAAAATAAGATTATAGCGTAGTATATTATAGTTAATGATAGGAAATTTATTATCTATTTATAAGTTAAGGAAACGAATTGAAATGAAATCAATAAAAAATAGGATGTAGATGGAATGTGCAGTTAAAAATATATAAGGGAAGATAGGACGGTAAATAAGAGTAAAGAAATACTAGGTAGAGATAAAAGGAAATAAGAATGAGATATGGACACTAATAATAGACTGTGATATAGAGATTATGTATAGGTAAAAGAGAATGCATTGTAATAGTTTAGGTTTATAGTTGTAAGATAAAGGCGGGAGAGGAGTGTAAGTGTGAATGAGTTAACTTCTATTTCTGTAAACCAAGTCCCCTTCTTGGCTTGTATATGCTGAAGTGTAAATAAATAAATTCTATTCCATTCTAATTTAATGATATGCGAAAAATATTTTTCTTTCATAAATAGTAATAGTAACGAAACATTGATCGTAACGAACCCACATGTAATAGCGAAATTTAATTACAAGTTGCGAGAAATATAATACACTCACCAGCGAGCAATTGTAAGGAACCAAGAATCCTCGTGTGCTTTGGCGTTTTGAGAATATGCGGAAGGAATGATGATGCCGCTGCCAAAAGTGTGAGGGCGCCGATCACGGCAATCGCAACGCCGATACCCATTGTGACTGTGCTCGCCTGCCACCAAGCACTCGGTATGTCCCAAAAACTGCAACGAAACATCGCTTATGATAAAAAACTGTTCAATAATTTAATTAGAAATCTTTTCCATATCTTTTAAAAAGAATATTTATATACAGTCAGTGGCAAACAAGAGCATTATTTAATAATTCTTTGAAATAAACCGAATATATTAAACACTATGATTATTGGTACAAAAATGTTTTATTTGTTAATTGTGTAATAGAACAATTCAAATAATATCGAAGTTTCAATTAATTCACAATGTGTTTATCACAAATTTAACGAAATAAACTTTATTCGGTATTTATATACTTATCTTTCTACATTAATCAATAACATGCGCAGCGCATATGACAAAATTAGCGCGAATTTGTCGAGCCAATGCCTCAAGCAAAATGAGGGAGTAAATTTATTTTCATATTATTACATCCAATAATGCAATAATATTATAGAAACTAACTCATATGTAAAATCATTCGGCTATTGCATTTCGATATACAATCAAAATTTTCACAGCGAAATTAAGCAAAATTAAGTTAAATTATATGATGGATTTGCAGAATTTTCTGGTATTTTGAACAAAAATTGATAATTTACATTATGTAATTTATAACAGTTTTCAGCTGATATCTTTATGTTGGAATCGCAAATTATTTGATATCGCTTTATGTTGAATCTCTCAAATGCACAAAATATGCTATAATTTCAATAAAAAATATCTTCAATAAAAAATAATTATAAAGCAGTCACAAACACAAATAAACGTTCTATAGAAATTTAGAAAAATATAACGTTGAATGTTATTTCAAATAAAGAATCGGCTCTCTGGTGAAACTGCCGATGCCGAAAAACGAAAGAGTGATGCGAAAGGATATGGAAACGAATAAAACGTAACTATGCGGAATATTTTTTGTTCTATGTAAATATTATTTGTGAGAGATATCGTCGCGTAAAATATTGTATTATCTGTTTTTAACTTCTCAAAGTTTTGATCTGTTAACCATATGACTAAACACGATATTTTTCGGGATGGTATTCTACGTAAAAACATCGCATATTGTTCCGACTTTTATTTCGCAAAAAAAAAAAAAAAAACAGATTATCAATCGTAGCGAGCGAAGTTAAAACCACTCGTATTTCTTACATTTTCGTAACTCTTCCCTCGACCTACTATTCATTTCGGGCATTGCTAACTCGTATAGCTTTCTGTGTCAGCTAACTTTAAATAAATTCAATTCTCGAAATATTTTGTGCATATTTATCGAAATGCCGTTGCAATAACTGTACTATTAAAAAAAAATATTCAGTAATATAATAATAAGACATAAAAGATAACTTGGAATATTTTAGGAAATTATTTTGTAAAGTTTATGTGCCGTAAAACTAATCAATAAATTGCCGAGTTGATTATATGCCGAAAGGTAACGTTAATACAACTATCGAAATGTCTCGATTTGCAGAGACCAACTATTAGCACTTATCGTGCTTATATTGCTTACATTAGGGGGTAGAAGAGAAGGGAGAAACACATTTCGCGTGTGTACGATTATGCTATCGTGCACATTTGGCCAATCGGGAAATTGCTTGTGGTACAACCGACACTTTCGAGAATCAGATATTGAAACAGCTATAATGCGTATCCGGTTTACATTGCGATGCTGCGGATGCAAAAAAGGTTGTTAACGCGGAAATCAACATAATAATAATAATAATAATAATAATAATAATAATAATAATAACAAGATGCATTTTGCAATGTCAAAAATGCCAATATTAAACTCACAGCAGATCTAATTAAGATTAAATTTCCTTGAAAAATTTATCAACATCACTACGTATTTAATCGATAGTGGATCCGACGAGTGAATCTTTATTTGGCCGAGTCTATATGGCAGATGAAAAAGAAACGAAAAGCGGTTTCATAGGATGGTAGTACTGACACCATTCGACCTACATACGAATTTACGAAAATTAAATCAGAGGTACATACGCGAGATACATTTTTATCCCTTTTCGTGGCGAGATCTCGTTAGAAAGAGTACAAGCGGAATTAAATTTGTGAATGATTCATTGTCGACACTCGTCTTTCCACACTCAATGGTATTCTCAATGAAAAGTACACGTTTTTTTTTTTTTTTATAAAAAAAAAGTCTCCCGAAGATAGAAATATTAAAGCAATGCTATAATTCCATTTTAACATTATTATCATAATAGTTACATATACCTTAATTAACGTGATATTAACGTCGAAATCCGCTTGTTTTAAAACTGATTCGAGAATAAAGCGCATTAGAGAAAATATTATTTCATCATCAATCAAGTTCCATATCTGTTTTGACGAAACGTTTTGAAAAAAGTATAACAGTGATACGCGCGTACTTTTTACTTTTTTTTGTCGTTTCTGCTATTGTATATGCCTTGTAAAGTAAAGACACACGCAATTGTCAGAACAATCTCCATACAATTCTATACCGCTACTGACATCATCAATATATGTATAGTTAAATCGATCATATTGTCCTTTATAACTCAACTAACAAACTAACAACTCGTAGCGCAAAACACTGTAATTCTCTTAATTGTCAGGTAAAACTCATCGATTCAAGTGGCATTAAATTAAACCTCAAATATATTACGATTTCTACGACTATCTGCGAAATACGTTACAGACTGCGCGTACGAATGCATCAGCGATGCATGGAGTGTTAGATCAATCAACGAATGCGCAAGCAACAAAAAAAAAGAGAACTTACATAATTTGTCATGGGTCGTTGTTTCACTTTTATCACATACATGCAAACTTCGCATGTACTTTAATTGCAAATCCTCTTTACAATCGATGTACAGCAGATGTATCGTAATTCGAATTTGGAATAGACTTTAATTTTTGTTTTTAACCAATTTTATTTTTTCACCGATTTTACAGAGAGTGGATACAGGGATTCGATTCTTTCATATAGTTGCGGAAAAATATAATCAATATAAAAAAACACATGATTTGCAAATACCTTTATATTTTTGCACTCAAAATGCAACTAAATCCGATTAATCACGCGCATTTTACACACCGTTATCGTGACAATCGTTATTATGATCATTATCGGTGTTATCACGTAAACAAATGTATATCGATTAATTTCGGTATATTGATATTAACGATATTAACATTAATATCAAAATTTATTTTCATGCATGCTTAATGAATGAAAATTTATTTTAATGCAAGTTTAATGTAAGTTACGTGTAACTTAAATATATTTTTAATTACACAATATAATTTAGAGTTATTGTTATTTATACAGAGTGTCCGATAAGTTTGGACAAAACGCTAAACTGAATCGAAAAGTCCTCTACCATTTTGCAATTTTCGTAATAGTCAACGAGATATTATCGAAAGATTGTTGAATAAAATTGACACATAAGACAATTTTAAGATTTCTTACGATGTTCTTTATGAAATATCTTAAAAATTTTTCTTAAAGAATTCTTAAAGATATCTTAAAATTGTTTTATGCGACGATTTTAGACATTCTGCTCATTGAATAATTAAAACAAAAGTTGTGAAAATTGTAAAATGATAGAGGACTTTTCGACTCAGCTTAGTCTACATACAAACGCTTTGTCAAAACTTACCGGACACCCTATATAAATAACAATAACTCTAAATTATATTGTGTATTTAAATTACACATAACTATATTGTTTCCAGTATAAGCTATGAAAATACATAGAAAATCGATTGATGATACTTAACTCAATTATTTTTTCACGTTCGAAAGCTTAAGAGGATTGACCGTAAATTAATTTCTACATTAACAAGCGAAAAACATTTCGTTTATTTAGATAAAACAAATAAGATGTAATCGTTTTTTGAGTGTTTTATGTAATACGCCATCTCTCTAAATCTGAATGTTTTACGCAGAAAAAAAGAAAAATCGTGTCATTTCTTTCGTACTTGATTTTTCAATTCCTTTTGTTAACAATAATGCCTTAGTTTTAATGCCGCGACACACAATTTTTACGACCGCGTACGCAACTAATTTGCGAAGAAAGTTTTTATAGCACGTATATCTATTTTTTCACACGATCGCGACATCCTTGCGAAGTATTTTGTAAGAAATTATTCCACAAAATTGTACACTTGAGTCCGACTAAAATTATCCGGATTCTCATTCTAAACTCAAATTAATCCGTCCGTCAAAACTTTGAATATTACTCCCTCGTGTACACCTCGCGAAATGTGTGCAAATTTCTTTTTCCACGCGCACGACATAATTTGTGTAATTTGTGTAAATTTCACGATTCACGCTGAACGTTCATTTCCAGCAAGCGTTTAATCCTCGGTCATATTAATTAGTTTATGACGTTACATGTATTATTTACTATTATTTATTAATAAAAAGCATCATACATATTATAAAACATTTCTTTAAACAATCAAATATCAATTTTCCTCCATATTACTATCATAGGGAACGAATATGTTATTTTATTCTGATAATATAATAATTCGTCCACACGTTCTGCAATCTTGATCATCAGAATAATATTTTCTTGAATTCATTAAGATCTCATTAAAACGAGATAATTAAAATCGCGTGTGACGAGAGGTGTTCGGCATCCGAAATCCGAAATCGTTTTAGTTAACCGGCTCGTTGATTCACGAGAATGACTCGAGCAGATTCAGTGAACAACTGTTCCACAGCATTTCGAGCATTTCAAACGCCTCATGAGCAGAATCTCTCCTCGAGATCCTTAATCGTAGTTACGTACTTACACTCATTCACTTTGATATGGGAATATAGTGATGCGAGAATACGTACCTGGAATACCTCGCACACTCGTAAACTATCTCAAGCGTGGCGTTAGGAGCCCTGATTCGCGGATAATTGCAACGCCGAAAGGAACTGAAGTACGCGTCAGCCTTCCCCAACAGTCGTCCCTGAAAATGCACAAGATCGTGGAAATGCGGTTGTTACTTTATTACGTTTTAACGCTAGGCTTTATAATAAAACTGTATAAAACACACTAAAGCTCGCTAACTTCAGTAAAAGAGGTAGTAAACTTAAAATTACAAGCTGTGCCGCCAATGAAAATACATAGAGCTCATAAATATTAAAGAAATTTACAGACTTAATTTCAGCCCCCTTTTCTAATGTAACTTTCCTGAGTTGTTTGTAGAATGGAAGGTAATAGCAGAAATAAGATGAGGAATATTTGAATAAGTGTAAAGTAGAAACGTCGACGTCATTTGAACGCTACCGATTCGTAGCACGAAAGATTGTCGCATCGCGCGAACATGCAACAGTATCCGGAGCAAAAGACTTATACAGTCTATTCATTTATATGCGAAGGCAATAGCATAGCAAGGGAAATTTTCTCTCCTTTTCAACAGATTTTACACGGCGCCAAAGAAAATGTCTCGTCGTCCTGTTTGAATGCTTTTGATTGCTTCTCTTAATACGAAAAAAATATGACCGGTGGAGAAGGCAGAGAAGTAATAAGCTTGCTTGTCGTTTGCCAAATGCCGTTTTCTTCAAGCATGTTACTTTTTTCGCATTTGTTTCCATTAATATATCATAATAAAAGTCTCTGACTAAACGTAAAATTACTCGAAAAGAACTTATTTTATAAATAAGTTCTTTTTTTTAATTTCTTATTTCCTGCTTATAAATGAATCTAAACGTTTCTAAGAACAAAAAATTTATATATAATAATTAATATAAAAAGTATATAAATAATTAATATAAATATATTAATATAATAATTAATATAAAAAGAAGATTACAATAATATTTTTATTGAAAAAAGAATTATCTTTTAAAAATTTATTTTTCCATTGTAGTGACAAAATTGATTCAAACATAAAATTATTATTAAACAAAGCTCTGAAAAAATCACGTTAGATATATACAAATGATATATTACTATATACGAGACTATATATCCTACAAAATTACGTTCGTATAAAATAAATGCATTCGTATAAAAATTTATGTTAACTCTGATCTATTTAAATTTCACTATATTCCGATCTATTTAAATTTATTATATTGTTTGGATCAATAACGTGATTAAAAATTTTTTAAAAAGTAAAAAATTTATACAAAAAAAAAAGATTTTATATTAACAGATAAAGTTATCAAATACGAGAAAAAAAACATTTTTAAATAAAATATTAATAAGAAAATTACGTTTTGAATCAAATAAATCCAAACAAATCAGAGTTAATAATTATATTTATTTACAAACGTGATATTATAAAATGTAGCACTTAATTTATACGCTTATAAATCTGTACATGCTATAAATTCTAAAGAAAGGAGATAATTTCACATAGACAAAATATACACATGTGTAATTGATTCTAAAGAGAAACACAGCTGTTAATTAAACTGATGAAACGCTTTGGCTAACAAGATTCCTCTTGTAACAAGGCTCTCCTTATAGCTCTAGATTCCTTCGGTGATTCGCTATACGGAGAATCGATACGTCATTAATCCTAAACTGTATAAACGAGCTTTCAGAAACGAATATCCCGATCAATGGTCTCCCAACAAGATCTCGGAAAAATAAACTGTAATTTCTTTCATTACCCGCGGAACCTAAAACCGTAAAAAGGTTTGTCAAGTCTATGTACAAAGTTAGCTGCCTAGAAAAAAATGCAAAATAGATTCGAAACGAAAAAAGTTGTAGTTTTCTAACCATATAATTCTGAAAAGCAGAATTCTCTCTTTCGAGAGGCGGCTTCGTTTGCGACGTGACACGTGGAATATGAACAATTTGGTCGCGAGTAAGGCCAAACTACTTTGAATCTGCCAGACAACATCGGCCAGACCAGGTAAAAGCAAGTAGCAGTCACACGAAGTACAAAGTTACTTGACGATATTCGCCTCATCAACTTCTCTCTACTAAGTTGTCGGTGGCCCAAAGCGTTCTTGTCGCGTTCAAGAATCTTGTACGCATAACGAACGTCTCAGTAAGTTTCAAGGACCGAAATTTTGCCTCGTGTCACAATCAAGACTTTGTTACACTTGTTGACAATGCGTATTGTAGTGCGACGAATTGTAGTTAGAGTGAAATTATTCAATTGTCTGAATTACCTGTAGGACTTTTGATGTAACTTTTGATATAAGTGCATTATTGTTTCGTTACGTGCATATAATTATTATTATTATTTTTAATATAAAATTTTACTAATTTTTTTATTGCCATTCTAGTTACAAATGTCTAAAGAATAACTTAATAACTTTGAATTCTTTATCATGTTCGTTAACATAATACATTGATATATTTCTTTTCATTTGAAATTTCTTCTCTGTGTATCTTTTACTTCATTACAATATAAATTCCTTTTAGTTCGTTTAACTTTGCTAAACTAGTAATTACGTGACAAATATCTGTGTATTGAGACGTTTGCGCTGTAGAACTAATGTTTTAGTTTCGTCGGTTTGTTCGTGGTTTAGAACGAAGAATTCGATTACTATCGCCGTTCTACGATCCATCTTGTCGGATGACTCGAGCTTGTTCGATTTCTCACATTTTCTTTACCGTTTTCTTCCTCCTTCCACTTCTTATTTCTCTAGCTTCTCTGCTTTTCTTATTTCTAAGTTGCTTTTTTTTCACTATTTTTCATTTTTGTATTTCGCTTCTTTGTCGCAAACTCCACTGCTATTCATCTACTCAAATTTTACATCTTGTGGATGGACGAAAATGAAACGTAGCTAGTAACATTATCCACGAGTAATGTTGCAATCTTATTTCAACATTAAAGCTCGCGAATTCAAAAGTGCTTCAAAACGAATATCCTTTAATCTGCATTTTGTCGAAGGGATGCGCTCGCATTCATGGTTCCCAGCTAATTTATTGAGAAATACATCGATACATATAATCGGATTACACTTAACTACGCAGCAGAAATCAAGAATTAACGGAATGAGAATTGTAGAGCCATTGCGCCATTCTCGTTATTCGTAACCCGACCTCAGCAAGTCCTGAAATTCGAGTTCGCGAGTTTCAACCGTCTGATCTTCCAATGAATGGCTCGAGAGTGATAAATGAACTGTCGCTTAAATATACGTGCAAAGCACTCGTAAGAAATAACGTAAGAAAAACATACAATTTTCCGTTTAATAAATATATAATATTTTGTTCTCTCCTGAATTATAATTTCAACGTACCTCGATACATTAATTTATCGATAAATCTGACACGCCTTATTGAAATTATGAAATGCTTCTTGGTATGCACGTCGTTGAAACTCACGAATTTACCAGTACTTTCGTAGCCATGCAAATTTCGTCGATTTTATCACGGTGCCTTTTAAATCGCTTTATATTAGAGAAATTCTCTCAGTCGTCAAAAATCGTCGATATGAGACCTTTCGACGATAAGCGAAGAAGCGAAAACGACTTCTTCATATCTTCATGTCATCGTCATATTAACGATGCGAAGTCCTTATGGAGATGCGGAGATATGTCATGGAAAATGCAAAAACTACGATCGTGTATGTGAAATTCAGAATGACCCTTCGACGTCACAAAAACGCGAAAAACGATGTCGTACAATTTTATAGTGATGGAACAGAGTAGTGTAGTTAAATTTGTAAGCGTAGGTGAATTTTCATAAATATAATTTTAAAAGTTGCTACGGAGAGAATTTTTTCTTAGAATTTACTCTGAAAATATGGTAGTCTTCTAGAAAAGCATATATTTCAAAGAATTTTACGAAAATTTCTTTCATTCATTAATAAAATTCTAATAAAATATGTATAAAATAAGTTTGATTAATTTTACTGAAGTGCATAATAAAAATCTTTAGGATATTGTATTGTACATTGAAAAAAAATATCTTAATTTCAAAGAAATATTTCTTTGCTCGTATTAAAAAAAAATTTCTTTGGATCAATGAAAATTTCTTTGAAAATGAGATATTGTACAATATCTTATTGAATAACATCTTATTTTCAAAAAAATTAAAATTTTGTTCAGTATATCATAACTACCGAGACAATTATATTTTTCAGAGTAAATAAAAAAAAATTCTCTCCTTATAAAAATTAGTAAAAGCTATCAACCATTTGTTCACTAATCGTGCATATCGGACTATTGGCCAGTAGTATATCATCGTGGAACTAATTCAGTTGTGTGGTAATAATGCTATTTTATCCCTATCCGATTGGACGAGTTGCTTTCGTATTTATCGATACCCTATTTTATAGCTCCATTAATGTCACACTTTAATGACCATTAAACATCCAAGAGCGCTAATGTATCGCGCGACAGAGAAAAAAAAAGCGATATTGATTTAATAATAAAGATTTAGTGTTAATTTACATGAATCCTAGAATAACAAGAAACAGAAAGAACAGAATCCTCGTGTTTCGTTAATCATCTATGGCTACCTCATAACTCCTTCAAGATTCCCTCACGATTAACTATTATAATCTTTAAACATTGTTCCAACGGACAAGGAGTTGAAAAACTTTTGAAAGCTGCATCCCTACTTTTATTTATAGCTCTTTATAATGACATAACGTAATTAAAAGCGCGTAACGCGATTGCTCACCTGAATCCAGTAAGGCAGATAAAAACCAGAGCACGCGAGAATCGAGGCCACAGTGGACAGAGTAGCCCACAGCACGCACAGCACTGTCATCTCATCGGTTTAGGAGCGATTACCTCTCTCCCTCACGCACTGCAGTTCATCCTCCATCCGTGCATAACTGTAGAGGACCACCCCCCTAAGCGGTGTCAGGATCACGAACTTCGACGCACCCACACGAGAGATCGGGACCTGCATACGATCTGGACAGCCGATCCCGACAGCCGCTCTCGACAACGTTGACCCTCGTCGCTGTTAAATCCTCTCTTTACGTCATGGCTGGCAAAAGGCGACGATCGATCGTGCGAGTGACATTTATTAGGGTATTGATGTTCCTGTCGCGGCTCGTTTGACACTCGCAGACTGTTAATTCCGAGATCGATCGATCCTCCTCCTAATCGTGGATATCAGAACGCGCCTGGCGATGCGTTCTCTTACGGGTTCGAACATCCGAGCTTTTGCTTTAATTATTCCCTCTTAATCATTCGGTCTTTATCGTCGTTTTCCAATGTAATGTCGCCGACGAGAGGCCAACGGCGAAGCCGTTAATTCAGATTCCACGAGGAATTACTCGGCTCGTAAAACGTGACCGAGGTGTCGCTCAGAATATCACTTCTCCGAAATGAGTCACACGGTTAATTCCGATTCCCATTCTGTAACATATATATCTCATGTCGCAAAATTCATGCCGAGTAACGATGAAGCGATTTCCCACTTACACTTATTGAGAAATCGCAAGAAAATTATCTTTTCAAACGATTGCACAGTTCACTGCTTGCAATTCCATAGACGAGCCACAATTATCTCTCTGTTTGTAAACCACAACTATCATTCAGGTTCAAGTTCATTATTCCGCAGAATGCATTAATTCCGCTTGTTAATAATCCTCTTTCGATAGATGTCCTAAAGATCGCTTCCCAAAGTTACTACGTGTTGTCATATGGATCTGGCTAATTATTCAAAACGTGACATTTATTAGGGAACGTTCAAGAAGAAAAATTAATGATGTGCAAGTCGTATCCTCTGTTTTTTCTGCATCGCATTGTTAATTTACCAATAGTCCGTTTTTCATCGAGAATCCACTGATGGATCTAAATTCTTGCAGAGATGGTACTTTGTTCCCCTGCGAGACGCCTCCAAGGTTAATTATAGATGCGACTACCATTATCCACGCTGCGGTGCTCGTTCTCCACCACGTTCTCGATAAATGAAGCACGTTCATAAAAAGTATTCGTATCATTCGTTTTGGAATCGGGCGCCCGCGCCATCACTCTCACGTCCGCGGCGCGAAAGATATTGAGAAAATCGCGAGACAGAGATCGTGTGGCGGAAAGTTGATGTTTCCGGGTTGAAATTTAATTTTCAACTTGGAACTCGATGACACTTTTTTCTGAAGTGAACGGAGAGCGATGACGAGAAAAATGTAGCGTGCGTGGATATCATTCGAAGTTGTCGACGACGATTACCGTCGTCGTCCGTCGTCGTCGTCGTCGCGCACGGCGCCGCTTCGTGGCTGCGACTGAACGGTTCTGTTCTCCACACTCGGCACTCTCTCCTCTCCGACCCACCCGCGTCGGTTCGCGCTGCGCCGCGCCACGCCGCGCCACGCCGCGCTGCAACCGCACTGTGTGGGAGGACCGAAGGCGCCCGACGATGCTGGACCAGCACCAGCATCCCGCTCTTGGACATCTGGCGAGCACACGCCGCGCCGTGCACGCATGGAGAACGGCGACCTCCGATATAGTACATACGCGTTACACGACACGACGGACGTGTGCGTGCGCAACATAACACGTGTACGAATCACGCTACCCGTGGACCCCGTATGTTAATGAGAGATCAAATAATCGCGGTACATTCATCTCTTCCCCACTCCCACTATCATCCGTTAAACGTTCTTGCTCCAAGTTTCCGACAGGTCTGACATCGGTGAAATTCGATGTAGAACATCGTTGGGAAATATCATCTCATTATCTGTTTTTCATACATGGGTTATAGCGATAATTGAAAAATCTCATTGTTCTTTCTCTAACTGGTACTTTGACATTAATTTTCCTTGTATTTTTCCCTCTTTTTTAGCAACGACGATCGATATATTGATACGAATTTAATAGACTCTCTGGTGTATTAATTTAAAAATAAAGAATTTAACGCTTTGATTGTCATGATGTAATCTAAATAATTGAGAGCTTATATTATCCACACACACACGCATACACACTACTATTAATAAAATCATTTAATATAACAGATTCTTCAATTACTTTAACTTACTATTATATTCCAAAATCACCGAAAATTTTTTTAATCACAAGTTTTTTAATCAATTTAAAATCGATTTCTTCTTAGCAAAAATATGTGGAGACATTAATAATTTTTAAATTATTTATAATAATTATTTATAATAATTTAAAAAAAGATTTTTATTTAACAAGATTGCGGGAAGACAAATATGTTAAGAAAACAGAATTAATTTTAAGTATAATTATTATAAAATCTTTTATTTGCAATAATTACACATTATGTCATGCAAATAATCAAAAGTTAACAAATATTATTCTTTTTTTTTTTAAGAAAACAAAATTGGATAAAGAATTCGTAAAAAGATTGTAATTTTCGCAATGGTTAATGAGATATTAACTAAAGTTGCTAAATATTGTTTTTCAATAATTTTGTACTCAAATACTATCAACTTCACAGAAAACCTGCAAGAGACAAAAATCATTAATTTTCTTCTCATAGAACTCTAAGAATTTTTTTAGACTTTTTTATTAACTTTTTAATACATTTTCTTATTTTATTTTTACTAACATGAAAAAATACGGTAAAAAATTCTGAAAAAATTCTCAGAACTTTATAAGAAGAAAATAAACAATTTTTATCTCGTGCTGTTTTTCTGTAAAGTTGATAGTATTTGAGTAAAAATTATCCAAAACCGATATTTAGTGATGTTTAATAATTATTATAATTAATATCTCGTTAATCATTGCGAAAATTCCAAAATAATACAGGACTTTTCGATTCAGTTTGTCCTCTCTATCTATAAAAGCGATTGGCCAAAACTTACAAAACATCCTATATACGATGCCAATTTATCAACAATTCTATTACATAAAAACAATTGTACGTAAAAACAATTGTATAGTATACAAGACAGTTACATGAAAATGAATGGATAAGACAATAAGACAGTTCTTGATAAACTTGGCATGGTTCCAAAAATGGATAATACAAGGTGGAATGGTTTGTTGCCAAATCAGAAACACTTGCTTTTATTACAAAAATACCCTGTGCTGGAAACACGGAATTAACACGTAATTGCTAATGAAATTGTATATGCCCCAATTCTATGTATATTGATATGAGATGCTAATCGCACAGCATCGCCCCTTCCCGTAAAGCCTCCCAGATTGGAATTGACAATGCGTGTGACCTACCCCATACATTGAGTCTTGAGAAATTCGAGAAATCTCGTCTGTTCATATTGGCTGTGGCTTATAAAATTAAAATAGCTTAATTAATGAAACAACTGCGAAAAGAGATTTCCGCGTTAAATCCAGCATGACATGAGAAATATTTTTTAATTATTTTTTATATAATGTTTAAGTCTACACTGCACAAATGTGTTTCTAAATATGAATACACATTTTCAGGAAATGGAAAATTACTTTTTAAAAATAACAAGTTACAGTTATTCATTACTGAGTAGAAAATGTTATCGTTACTAATTATCGATTTTTAAAAGTACACAGTTACCGTTACTTGAGAAAGTAACTTTTCGTTATTTTTTTTTTAAATCGATGACCACCAATCACAACGGACGGATCTAGGGGCTTCTCTAGTCTCAAGTGCTATGCACTGTAAAAAATTTTTGTGCAAAATTACAACTATTATAGTAGATAATTTTGAGACCCACTATAATAGTTGTAAACGTCCACATGTTTGTAAATTTGCAATATGCAAATAAAAATAATTTTTTGATTTGTAACTAAGCAGATTGTGAAAGTACAATTACAATGTGTATGTATAATTACAGAAACGGTAATATGACAATACATTTCGCACTATATATTATTATTATATTTAACAGCAATACAGCGAAAAACTTCTTATATTACTAAAATTTGGAATTACAAAAAATATTCAAAACATTCTGCTATTTACATAATTTTCTATATAAAATAAGATAGATTTACACACAATAAAAACAAATTTATATAATTTTTATGGAATTACATAATTTAATTTCTGCAAAATTGCATAATTTTTTTTTATAAGACTAATTTTATAAGACTAATCATATAATTTTTACATCTATTATAAAAGTAACTGTAAAATTCGTTATTGTTACGAAAAAAATGTAACTTCGTTACCAAAGTACAAATTACCAAAGAAAAAAAGTAACGCAGTTACCAGTAAAGTTATCAAAAAAATAACTTATAACTGTAACTTCGTTACAAGTAACGAGTTATTTCCATTTCCTGCATATTTTCCCTATTCATATTCGTCTTACATATAGAGCGCTCGTTTGATAAATCCATTCTCCATCGCATTGTTGTTCCGGTCAGCTCTGCTTCACGTCTATTGTGGGGAACCTCGTTAACATTTCCATCATCCATCATCGACATAGAGACGTTCTCGGTTGTTCCCGCCGGCTATCGACGAAACACGGATGGTCCCGTTTGGCATCGGTTCCTCTCAGTTAGGACATTAGGATAATGAACTGTCGGATTTTCTCTATAAATGTGAGACAAATGCAAAAAGAGACGCTCAAGCTACGAAATAAGAACAAAAATGGAATTATAGAAAAATATAGCTAAAAAAAATTGGAAAAAACAAATTGACAACTTGTAGCGAAAACGGCGATTTTACGATATAAATTTTACATATTTTGCGAAATGGTATAAGGCTTTTTATTATGATGAACGGAGAAGAAATAAGCGCAACCCTTTTATTCATCCGACTTTCCCATGCGCACGTATAGATATGTGTGTTCAAGTTAAGGCGAACCGACATGTTGGTGAAACGAGATGATTTCAAGGTATGGTAAAGTCTCATTTCAGTGTAAATTTCATCGAGTTTTATGGTCGATGCTCTAACGCACGCGCCGCCATGAAATATCGTTTGCGTAAGCACAGTTTTATGCGCTGCTTCACTCGTCCAATTACTCGTCCGCGTTACCCCAGCTATAACATCATTGCAACAATAACAATGTTAATTCACTACCGATGATGGTTATAACAAATGGTTATAACAAATAGTTATAACAAATCGAATACATTTTGAAATGCTCGACAAGCGTTCGCCAAGATGGTCAAAAGAAGAAAAAACGGTGAAATACAGAAATTGTCTGAAAACGGAGAGCAAACTCTTTCTCTACGATATCATCGCTCGAGTCCAGGATCCCCTGTCGCCAAACGAGAAAGGCGCTATCCTCTCAAACAGATTATGAGTCCCGGATTTATTTTTACGACCGGCCAGATCCCAGTGCACTTGTCTCTACATAGAGGACAAGAAGGAAGGAACAGGAGAAGGCGAGGAATTGATGCCGTAGCTCCTGCTTGATTCGATGGCGGTGCTTCGAATCACGACACCGTAAAATATATAGCGGCGCTTTTTATAGAAAGCAACGCGAGCGAAAATAATCACCGTCGAGTGTCCAACGATCGAGGAAAGACAGGGGATGAAATCGCTGGATTACCCTTTCCTTCATGCGTCACACACGAGAACAACACATCATTCCGTCCGGTGCACGACGCTGGAATTGGTTTAATGCGCGTTTTCATGTATATCATAAACCGCAGCTGATTACCTAGGAAATTGAGATACAGACGGTACGTGAGACGCGCGAGATCGTTCTTCCTTCCTCCACGCTCTTATCTGAGACCTCTATTTGCCCGAATAATGAGCTTCCCGCTGCTAACGTTACCGTAGAGTGTGCTAACTCCACGGACATTTGCCTCCGTCCGTAGAAATTCCTCGTGCATGAAAAATAACGGGGATTATCAGTTCCCGCTATCACGTGGCTAAATGCGTTACTTTCCAAACAAATTATGTATCGCTAGGATCAAAGATAGGCGACGCAAGAGTTTAAAAAAGATAATGTATCGAATAATCCTACCCCTATCCTTCCTTGTTTCTGGCTTTTATACGGTACGTAAACAAAATACTGCAGGCAGATTGCGGATGAATTTTTTTCTCTTTCTTTCTCTATATTTTTACGATGAGAAAGATTTTACGAAAGAAGATCAAGCTGAATATATATAGCCTTGTGCAGGCGCTGGTTTTCATTGGATCAAGAAAAGAATCTTATCTTCATGCGCACGACCTGGTTACTGAATAAATACGCTTGATTCGATATGCCGTCGATTCACTCGGTCATCGCCTGGATTTGAAACCCCATAAAATGCGAAGATATAGATTGAAGAAGAGGTAAAAGCGATAAAGGAAAGCGAAAGAGTGTAAAAATACCAGAAAGAATGATCATCTTGTATTAAAATTGTTGTAGAATAT